GTGCTTGATAGCAGCTACCAGTGCCCCCCCTTTCCCCCGCAGACTACAAGTGGCTCTGTGCTCAAGTTCAGAGGTTTCTAAATCTAATCCTACTCTTCCCAACAACATGCCTAAACCCTAATATTATTTTAACTCCCATCTGCTGGAATTAAGCATAAGACTAGCTGCGCTAAATACGTGTCTTATAAAAACGTCGTATATGCGTCCCGCCGAATGTACTAAATTTACCGTACAAACGACGGCGCACTTCACACTAGAGAACAGAGCCTGTGCGCTACCCTTTAAAATTCTCATTTACGTAGGAAAGTTATCTAAAGGATATTTTAAACAAGAGTTTTTGTCGTATTTGTTCCCAGTTCGCACTCAAAACCTTGTTTACAAAGGTAGTTAATAAGTGCCAAATTGAAATACCCCCTCCACCTACCAACGAACATTTTAATAACAAAAAAGAGGGGTAAGCACACTCACTTGCAGAACAGGTTGATTAGCGCGCGCATTCTCAACTACGCTGGCTGTATACTCCTGTTTGTTAAAGACAGGAGCGTACTCGTTTTCGTCTCCGATGCGGACAACAATTTGACGACTGGTGCTCTGTCGCGGACTGCCAGAGTCCCAACAGGTGATGTTCAGCACTACAGCCGGCTCCACCTCCGCATCGAATCTGCGTCGCGTGTGAAGAGTGTAGAGACTGGGGTCGGGCTCCCTGTTGAGACGAAATTTGTAGCCCACATCATTGCTGTCGTCCAGAGCACAGCTGACCTCCCCATTATCGCCCAGATCCCGATCACGGACTCGAAGAGTTAGAATCAGGGTCGCATCAGTGTTCTCTGGCACTGTGATGGTATCACCATCCTCCTCCATGGAGTCGATAAGAAAAATCTCCGGGGCAAAGTTGTTAATGTCCAGCACATTGACAATGACGTCGATGGTGTCGGACTTGGGGCCTGCGACTGGAAACGAGAACAGTGATGTCTGCTGATGGAAATCCGAGGTACGAGCACTGGCACTGCTCTCTTTAACCCTCACCTTGAAACTATACTTTTGGCGTACATGCGCACGCAACCTGCTGGCCAGGGTCACAACGCCCGTCCTGTCGTCTAGGCGAAAGGTGGCCTGCGCACTGGCATCTTCCGAGGGCACGAATTCAAATCGCATTTGGGCATTTGGGGGCGAGTCCGGGTCGGAAGCGTTCAATCGAATGATCGAGG